TTTGCCAGTATTTTATTGAAGATTTTTGCATCTATGTTCATCATGGATATTGGCCTGAAATTTTCTTTTCTTGTTGAGTCTCTGCCGGGTTTTGGTATCAGGATGATGTTTGTCTCGTAAAATGATTTGGGAAGGATTCCCTCTTTTTGGATTGTCTGGAATAGTTTCAGAAGGAATGGTATCAGCTCCTCCTTGTATGTCTGGTAGAATTCAGCTGTGAACCCATCTGGACCTGGGCTTTTTTTGGGTGGTAGGCTCTTTATTGCTGCCTCGACTTCAGACCATATTATTGGTCTATTCAGGGTTTCGGCTTCTTCCAGGTTTAGGCTTGGGAGGTTGCAGGTGTCCAGGAATTTATCCATTTCTTCCAGGTTTACTAGTTTATGTGCATAGAGTTGTTTGTAATAATCTCTGATGATGGTTTGGATTTCTGTGGAATCTGTGGTGATATCCCCTTTATCGTTTTTTATTGCATCAATTTGGTTATTCTCTCTTTTCTTTTTTATTAATCTGGCTAGTGGTCTGTCTATTTTGTTGATCTTTTCAAAAAACCAGCTCCTGGATTTATTGATTTTTTGAAGAGTTTTTTGTGTCTCTATTTCCTTCAGTTCTGCTCTGATCTTAGTTATTTCCTGTCTTCTGCTAGGTTTTGAGTTTTTTTGATCTTGCTCCTCTAGCTCTTTCAATTTTGATGATAGGGTGTCAATTTTAGATCTCTCCTTTCTTCTCATGTGGGCACTCATTGCTATATATTTTCCTCTAGAGACTGCTTTAAATGTGTCCCAGAGATTCTGGTATGTTGTGTCTTCGTTCTCATTGGTTTCGAAGAACATCTTTATTTCTGCCTTCATTTCATTGTTTATCCAGTCAACATTCAAGAGCAAGTTGTTCAGTTTCCATGAAGCTGTGCGGTTCTGAGTTAGTTTCTGCATTCTGAGTTCTAACTCGATTGCACTGTGGTCTGAGAGACTGTTTGTTATGATTTCTGTTCTTTTGCATTTGCTGAGGAGTGATTTATTGCCAATTATGTGGTCAATTTTAGAGTAGGTGTGATGTGGTGCTGAGAAGAATGTATATTCTGTGGATTTGGGGTGGAGAGTTCTGTAAATGTCTATTAGGTTTGCTCGTTCCAGGTCTGTGTTCAGGTCCTGGATATCCTTGTTGATTTTCTGTCTGGTTGATCTGTCTAATATTGACAATGGGGTGTTAAAGTCTCCCACTATTATTGTGTGGGAGTCTAAGTCTCTTTGTAAGTTATTAAGAACTTGCCTTATGTATCTGGGTGCTCCTGTATTGGGTGCATATATATTTAGGATCGTTAGCTCTTCTTGTTGCAGTGATCCTTTTACCATTATGTAATGTCCTTCTTTGTCTCTTTTGATCTTTGTTGCTTTAAAATCTATTTTATCAGAGATGAGAATTGCAACTCCTGCCTTTTTTTGCTCTCCATTTGCTTGGTAGATCTTCCTCCATCCCTTTATTTTGAGCCTTTGTGTATCCTTGCATGTAAGATGGGTTTCCTGGATACAGCACACTGATGGGTTTTGGCTTTTTATCCAATTTGCCAGTCTGTGTCTTTTGATTGGGGCATTTAGTCCATTGACATTTAGGGATAGTATTGTTATGTGTGAATTTGATGCTGTCATTTTGATGCTACCTGGCTGTTTTGTTGGTTAGTTGATGCAGATTCTTGATTGTGTTGCTGCTTTTTTACCATTTGGTGTGTTTTTGGAGTGGCTGGTACTGGTTGTTCCTTTATATGTGTAGAGCCTCTTTCAGGAGTTCTTGTAGAGCAGGTTTGGTGGTGATGAAATCTCTGAGTGCTTGCTTGTTCACAAAGGATTTTATTTTTCCTTCACTTATGAAGCTGAGTTTGGCTGGATAGGAGATTCTGGGTTGAAAGTTCTTTTCTTTAAGGATGTTGAATATTGGCCCCCAATCTCTTCTGGCTTGTAGGGTTTCTGCTGAGAGATCTGCTGTGAGTCTAATGGGCTTCCCTTTGTGGGTAACCCAACCTTTCTCTCTGGCTGCCCTTAGCATTTTCTCTTTCATTTCAACCCTGGTGAATCTGACGATTATGTGCCTTGGGGTTGCTCTTCTTGAGGAATATCTCTGTGGTGTTCTCTGTATTTCCTGGATTTGAATATTGGTCTGCCTTGCTAGGTTGGGGAAGTTTTCCTGGATAATATCCTGAAGAGTATTTTCCAGCTTGGATTCATTCTCTTCATCACATTCAGGTACACCTATCAGACGTAGATTAGGTCTTTTCACATAGTCCCACATTTCTTGAAGATTTTGTTCATTCCTTTTTGCGCTTTTTTCTCTGTTCTTGCCTTCTCTTTTTATTTCATTGAGTTGGTCTTCGACCTCTGATATCCTTTCTTCTGCTTGGTCAATTCGGCTGTTGAAGCTTGTGCATGCTTCACGAAGTTCTCGTGTTGCGTTTTTCAGCTCCATCAATTCACTTATTCTCCTCTCTATGCTGTCCATTCTCGTCAGCAGTTCGTCCAATCTTTTTTCAAGGTTCCTATTTTCTTTGCGATGGGTTAGAACATGTTCTTTTAGCTCATTGTAGTTTCTTACTACCCATCTTCTGAAGTCTGATTCTGTCATTTCATCACCCTCCTTCTCCATCCGGTCTGGTTCCCTTGCTGGTGAGGAGTTGTGATCACTTTTAGGAGGAGAGGTGTTCTGGTTTCGGGAGTTTTCCTCCTTTTTACGCTGGTTTCTACCCATTTTTGTGGGTTTATCCACCTGTTGTCTGTCTCTGTCCCAGGGAGTTGGAGCTTTATGAGTTTCCGTTGCACTACTGCCTTTTTTGATTTTTTTTTTTTTTTTTCAGGTCGGACCCGCCCAGCTAGCAGCAGGCCTAGCCTCTGCCTGCCCGCAGGGGCTTTGCTGAGCTGCTGTGGGCTCCGCCCAGCTGCCCTGAGCTCTTCCCTGTAGTCCTTTTTATATGGGCGTAGTTAGAACTGTCTGGGCACTGGTGGCCCCGCCTCTGTTATGGCGGACTCTCTCTGTTGTGGCAGGTTGCCTCGGCAACGGTGGGTTGCCTCGGCAACGGCAGCCTGCCTCCGTAGCGGTGGAGAGTCTCAGTAATGGCGGAAGCCCCTCCCCCACGGAGCCGGACCGTCCCGGTTCAGCTGTGCTTGGTTTGAAGGGCTCAACCCAGAGGGTTTCCAATTACTGTTTTTGTTTTCGTTGTTGTTGGGGGTGGAAGGCTGGGACCAACCGAGCCTGATCACCTGGCTCCCTGACTCAGAGTCTTTTCTTTTAAGTTGAACGACCCCGCGTTCCGGTCGCTTGTTGAAAAGGCGCCGGGATCTCCCGTGCTGCGACTCACGGAGTCGGCTCGAACCGCGGCGCCGGCTCCTGGCGGATTTTTTGCCTAGGAATCTCCTGGCCTGGCTCGCTATTTCAGATGAATGGGCTATTCTGCCGTCTCAAGGCTCTGCTCGCCAGCTAAGAGGGCTCCCAGACCAGTGGCTTTTGTACGGAGAACCGCAGCAACAGGGAGTGGTCACAGCAGCCGCGCGGGCGGAATCAGCCCCGCGGGGGCCAAAACAGCCGCACCGGCTGGGACTGCGACGCTGGCGACCCCTCTGCCTGGGTATCTCCTGGTCTGTGGGCAATAAGAGTTCGTCTGGAAATGCGGCGTCCACTCACCCTCTGCACTTTCACTGGGAGCTGAAGTCCTGAGCTGTTCTTAGGCGGCCATCTTGAAAGTCCCCTCTTCAGTATTCTTATGGCTTCTTTTCCCTTAAAGTCAATAGGATAGGCTAAGTGATACAAACTGATTGTAATATTAAATTAAGAGGAAAATGAGCTTTATAATTTTGGATCGTAGTATATGGGGTTTCCTCAAGGCTATGCTCCTACAGCATGGATAAGCAAAAGTTGACTCCATCACCACTAAGGGGACTAGCACACATTTACACTCAATTATACATTTGGTACACATTTTCCCTCATTTTTACTAATTTAAAATACACCAGTGTGTATAAGGGCTATAGATGCACTTAAGAAATCATTTGTGGCATTTATGTCTTATTTGCAACTCATTTATTCCTATTTCTTATCTTATATTTCATGTTAAATATTAGTGCTATGTTGGAAACCTGAAGCCCTGCATCACACTTTCTTAGTAGCATTGTCTGAGTCACTGTCAGCTTTTATTTAAAGATATTTAACTGTCTGTCAGTTTCACTTAAGGAATTATTAGATTTAATGAGAGAACTTGGTATTTGAAATGTTAATATTTATAAAATTACTGTAATGGTAATATGGATTTCTAACTTGATTCTGCATTATGGTTTCGAAAACAAAGCTTTGTATAGAGCACAGAAAAAGCTTGCTCTGACAGTCAATGTGAGCTATTATGGACATATATTATAAAAAATTTGACATAAAATAAATGAAAAGGGTGGCCTAAATGCATTTCCAGGTGTGTCATTTTCTGTGGAAGGGATGATTCACTGCAGTAAATATATACATGAGTTTGATTTGAACTTATTTTTTATTCTCACTTAAAATATTTTGAAAAGCAACAATGAAGAATGGTCATTCTATAAAACCCAAAGTTTATTGCTCCTATTTGGGGCTAAATTAAAAAAAAAAGTGTGTAAAATTGGATACAAATTTGATTGTGCTAGCAGTAAGTTTAAAAACAATGTTGGCAATGTTTAATTATAAGGAAAATTCACTAGAATATCTGTACACTGTGATTATTTTACCTAAAGAAATGCAAAAATATAAACAGATGCCCATCCAGATGTGGCTGATTTTTTTCTCCACATGGCATTACTGGCTCTTATTAAGAGACATCTAATCAAGTTTGATAGATATTTCTTGAAATGATGCATGGTATGCAGTGCATGCTTTCATTGTGCTTCCTGCCATTATGGAATAACGTGTCTTATTTGGAAATACAATGATCATTTCTATTAAATCATGTTCAATCAGCTTATATAATAACACCTATATTTTGTGAATCATTTCAGATTTCAGAGAGCTATGCATTCCTACCAAGAGAAGCGGTGACACGATTTCTAATGAGCTGCTCAGAGTGCCAGAAAAGAATGCATTTAAACCCAGATGGAACAGATCATAAAGGTAGCTTCAGTGTCAAATAGTGAGATTTAAAGTAATTTGATACATAATGGCAATTTATATCTCACATTTTTAAAAAAACATGGTAGACTGAAACAGTTCAACAAGTCAGATCATCTCATTTATTCAAGTAGGAGGCAGTGAATTTTGAATATCCACTTACAAAGTAATTCAGTGCCCATTCTTAGAAGAAAGACAGTTTTGGCTGTGGCAAATAACATTTTTCCCTGCAAAAATGTTTTAATTTTTATTTATTATATATATTTCATGGTATTTTAGATATATTCAGCAAGGAAATTGGTTTCTATCAATGTCTTTTTAAATCTACTGATTTCTTATTTCTAAAAATTATTAATAATGTGGAGTTTCTTTACTAAAAAGTTTTACATAAAAATTATGATTTGGCTTTACCTTTCGTTAAAATTATCTAAATTATTTGGCTAAATATGACTTTCTCTCAGGGATTATATCATTCTAAGAGATAAATTTGTGCTGGCTGATTCCTACGTCTTAGAAGTTAAATAAAATGGCCAAAAGAAAAAAAATTGAGCAAAAATCCTTTGGCATTCAAAAAGTACATATAGAAAGTAAAGCAAAGAAGAAAAATATAAATAATTGTGTTAATCACCACATTAACTTTATTCATTGTTACTCAGGATGTTTAAAAGGCCCCCTGCATTTAGAAATAATTAATTTATTAGTACGGTTAAATAGTGTCGACAGAACCTTACCAGTTATTTTTTTCTACCATCCAGCTATAATACTACCATGCTTTAAGACACTTGGCATCTAGAATCCTATTTCACTTTGGAGAAATAGATCATTTTCAAATTACAGGTAGAATGCAGTATCACTTTCATTACCCATTAAAAATGTTTTATTACAGATAATGGAAAACCTCCCACATTGGTGACCAGCATGATTGACTACAATATGCCAATTACCATGGCCTACATGAAGCACATGAAACTGCAGCTGCTAAACTCTCAGCAAGATGAGGTAAAATAAAAACATCTACATTTATGTGACTTACTACTTGGGAAGAAGCTTGATAACCATGACTATCATATTAAGCATGATGACATTTTGAAGACAGTAATTTATTTTTTAATGAATGAATCTCACCACAGTTGCACAGATGGAGAAAGTGAGCAGAAACTCCTAGCCCACAATATAGACCCCTGTCTTAACACCTATATCTTAGTGTTACATGGGAATTTGTTTGCTACCAAGAAAACTACATTTTCCTTAGTAGACCATCATTGAGCTGGCCTTGGTAAAGTATTACAAAATTTAGAAAGGGTAAGTTCACAATAAAGTATCCCAAATAATGAGGATTCTAAGGACATTTACGTACTAAGGCTATTTTGCATGGCAATCAGAAAAGTTGATTTAATGGATATTTCAAGTATAATCATTTCTCCACCATTCAAACCTTATATAAATTTTAAAGTTATTTTTTAGTCAACTGCTATTCCATATATTATTTATTCACTTCTGTGCATTTTCTAGAAACAATTTGTGGTCATTCTCATTTAGAAGTGTTTTGATATTTTAAGTTGTCCTATTTAATTTGTAAGATTAATTATTCTAAATTCTCATAATTTGTGAGAATTTAGCAACATGCTGTATGGACACTAAAAACATATTTGTTATACTTTTTAGGATTCTAGTTAGCTAGTCGTTTTGGTTAAAGCTATATCAAAGCAGGGACTAGGTTATATAGGTATGGTTTATAGTCTCCAAAACAAATAACAATAGCAGATATACAGTGGGTGCTCAGTACATCCTTGCTGACTAGTTAATACTCAATAGATGCATTTGAGTAATTTATATTAGGAACAGGTAGAGGTCCTCAGGCTAATAAATCATCTCCTTGAAATTTCTCCAAAATAGGAAATGAAGTTAAATGTCTATTTTTCAAATACAGAATTATTTGTTAAGATATGATTGTAATCTTTTAAAATTACTTGGTTGAACTTATTCATAAAACTCAAATCAAGTTTTTAGTTTTCGTATGTATTTAAGTGGGTTTAATCTCAAAACTGTATTTATAAAATTGTTTTATCTCAATAGACTTTATTCAGGGTATGCTTCATACAAAAATTCATACTAATGCAGTGGTAATATCAGATTTTATAATGCCAGATGGCTTCATATAAATCATTGAATAAATAGTAATAAAATCATTGGGTTAAATACATCAATGACAATTAAGAAAATACTAATGTTCATCCATCCCTGAGAATTATAAAAAAACTATTTCCACAATTCATTATATAGTTGAAAATTTTTTTAAATGTCTCATACACTAGTTAGCGCTGTCAGATTATTTGTAGAAAGCTCATTTAGATGTTGATATGTTTATTTCTAGGCCAAAATGTAAGAAGATCCACTTTGTGCCAACAGTGCAGCCCACATATGCTGATCCCTTCTGGCTTCTAAAAAATCATAAGTATTTTATACAAAAGAAATAGATCCTTTAAAATTTATAACTAGATTAGAAAAATAACTCTTATCCTTACATTTTGAAAATACTAAATTGGATGTCACACTGCCTTAAAATATTTAGATAAATAACTAATTAGATTATTTGCAAAATTTTTAGAAAATTGTGATTATTGAAAGATGAGAAAGGTTAAGTAAAGAAAGTCACATTAAAATGGAATTTAAGTGAAATATTCCTGTGTAATAAATTATATTTAAATTTGAATAAGCATTAATCCAATTAGTCCAACGAATAGTTACTCAGTATTTTCTATGTATCTGGCACTCCTGAAGAAAAACAGTGAATCAATTGAGAAAAATCCTTATCTTTTGTGGGGATGAACAGATAATAAAGAAAATAATGGCCATATGTATATAAAAAGAAAATAACGGCCATATGTATACATTTCTTCTTTATTAAGAGAAATAAGACTAGGCATGGGAATCTCTTTAGAACTAGGGATCCCAATTTTAAAGGGCTTTATTAAAATGTATCATTTGAGTAGAAGTGAAAAAAATATGTGTATGTATCAGGGGGATAGAGTGAAATGTTCCTGAGGCAGGTGCATATCTACTAGCTGTAGACACAGCAAAACAGTCAACATGGTTGCAATAGAATGATCAAGGAAGAGGAAAGTAAGAGAGTAGTTTAGAGACATAGTGGAGAGCCAAGTTATATAGATTCTTACATTTTAGGAACTTTAAAATTTTACTCTGAGTAATATTGAGAGCCATTAGAAAGTTTTGAGCAGAGCAGTCATGTGATCTGATCTGTATTTTAACACAATAATGTGGCCTGAGAACAGACTGAAGAGGAAAGAAAAGTAGATGCGCAGACACCAGTAGAATGTTATTACAGAAATCAGTCCTTACCTACACTGATTTCTGTAATAAACTCTTTTCCTTCTTGCATGGGAGTTTGGCCTTTGGATAACTTTTGGAGTTTGCTCTCCCACAAAACCGCTGATGTTGAAATGAAAACTGTGTTACTAGGCAACGTTGCTATGACAAAAATTATTCCAATTTGCAAACTGTATCAGAAGACTAGAACTATCTGCATAGAATCTTTAGATTTCCTTGAGTTGGATGATTTTTGTGATTGGCATGTCCTTTGTGGAGACATTAAGTTACTGACTGTGGTGTGAATAGAGATTTTGTCTCTTTGGGGGCATGGGGCTTCTCTGCCAAGTTCTCAACCTACCTAGTATGATTACTGTTTTCTTATACCTGAGCTATATCACAGGAAGAACTAAAGAAAATATATCTAATTAACTATGTGAATTGCTACTTGGCCCCTGCAAAGGCTTCCATGGAAGAGAAACACCTGATGCTGCCCTGCTGGCAAGAGTTTCCTTTGCCACATGCCTCTAGAAGAAGCTGATGCCAAGGGTTTTCAATGGTCGTCTTATGAGTATACGTTTTAATTGGATCTAACAAAAGCTTCTGAAGGATGTTTCAGGAAAGAAGATAATAGTGGCTTGGATCAAAGAGGTAGTGGTTAAGGTAGTGAAAAGAGGTGAAATTATGAATAGATTTTAAGTTTTGCTGATGGATTCTATGTGAAGCGTGGAAGTCAAGAGGCAGTAATGTCTCCAAGGTTTTTAATCTGAGCAAGTAGGGTAGAATTGGTATTAACTAGTATAAGAAAAACTGTGGGTAGAACACATTTGAGATATGATAATAGAAGTTCAATTGTGAGCTCTTCATTTGAAATTCAAGTAGATTAAAGAGGTTTATTAGAGATTCAAGTAGATTTGTCAGTTAGACAGTTGGCATGTGTAATTAAGAGCAAAGAACTAAGCTAGACATAAGGCCAAGCATCTTCCATTGACAGATAGGGTATGAAGCCATGTGACTGAAGGTATTGCCAAGATAGTGAGTGTAGATTGAACAAACAAAGTCCAGCAACCTTGATTTAGGAAATTCTAATGTTACGACATCTGGCAGATGAGGAGGAACCAAAAGAGGATACTGAGAAAGAGCATCCAGGATATTAGGAAAAGCTGGAGAGTTTGTAAACTAGAATAAAACTGGGAAAAAAAGTTTTTCAACATGTCTAGGGTAATGTATTATGTCAAATCAAGTGTTAAGTCAATGCTACTGAAGTCTGAAAATTAAATTTGTATTTAGCCTGATAGAAGTCAATGGTGTTCTTGACAAGAGAAGTTTCTGTGGGGTGGTCGGGATGAAAGCAGTAAAGTCATTGAAGAGTCTTGCTATTAAGGGGAGCGGGAGAAACAGGTAGGAGCTGGAGGGAGCATGGGGACAGGAATTTTTATTATATACATTTTTCTAAAATCAGAGAAATTATAGCATATATACATGTTGTTGGGATTCATGTAGCAGAGGAAAATAGTGATTTAGGAAAGAGGCAGGAAAATTGATGAAGCAATGTCCTTGGCATTAATAGGTAGGATTGCTTGTACGAAATTGGAAAAGTTGGCTTTAGAATGGAGCATGGACAGGAGGGATCAGATAGAGGTAGGCAAATAGAAATTGTGGTGATGATGGAAGTGTTCTGTTTGCTCCTAATTCTTCGGTTTTTTAAAAAAAGAAGCAAGAGTGAGGATGTTTGACAAGGTGTTGAAAGTTTGAGGAGAGGAGAGGATGTGAAAAGTAGAAATCTAGACAGTGAGGAGTAAATTGACCAGGAAAATGGACTCTTTTGAGTTTTGAGTAAAGTCATTTAAATAATTTCTCATCTCCATGTCCAGCTATATGGAAGCATGTGTAGAATAGAGTAAGGGAAAAACTAGAATTACTCATATTTTGGGGCTTGTCAAAAGAATAGAAGTGGTATGTAAGGATATGATTAAAATGACAAACCATGGAATTCTAGCCATGTAAGAAGATAAATGAAGTCATGAGAGAGGTGGATAAGAGCAGGGTGGTCAGTGCAAAATGGTTAGAATTAAGGGGTTATAATTATCAGTGGGATGGAAATTTCATTGGAATACTCGAATACATGGCATACTAGAGCAAATGATATGGAAGATTTGAGTTGTTGTGTGTAGAGAGTGAGATGCTTGAAATCAAGATTTTGGAGGATGTTCAGTTGCTGGTAATGAAATGCAAAGAACATGATTATGAGAGCAAAAGGGCTGAAGAAAGGTAGAGGACAAGATCATTAAGGAATAGTTCATGGAAGTGACAGGTCAGGATGTTTCCAGAGATGCTGAAATAATCAGGGACCGAAGCATGTGTAGGGTTTTTTGGGTTTTTGTTTGTTTGTTTTTATTTTTATTGGGGGGTGTTGGGACAAAGTCTCATTCTGTCACCCAGCCTGGGGCACAGTGGCACGATCTCGGCTCACCACAAACTCCACCATCCAGGTTCAACAATTCTCGTGCCTCAGCCACAGGGTAGCTAGGATTACAGGTGCCCGCCACCATGTCCAGCTAATTTTTGTATATTTAGTAGAGAGGGTGTTTCACCATGTTGGCCAGGCAGGTCTCAAACTTGTGACCTCAGGTGATCTACCCACCTCAGCCTCCCAAAGTGCTGGGATTACAGGTGTGAGCCACCACACCCAGTCTAAAACAATATTTTAAAACCATTTTCTAAGACTATCTTGTGAAAAATGTTAAAATATGTTCAAATGGCAAAATTCAGTTAAATTACTCTTTTTATGTACCCATCAAAGAAAGAATTGATGTGGAGAGAAAAAATACACAGGAAAATTTAGGAAACTGGCCGTAAGTAATTTACTACTTAAAACCACTGACATATTGTTCCACTTCCATTTTGCAGATGGGCACCAAGTTTTAAGCTGATAAAATTTATCCTAATAATAAAACTGGTAGAGAGATGATTAGATATTTGAACCTAGGTTTAAATAACATTAGTGCCTCAACACATCCACTTAAAATTAGTAGTAACTATTTGTGTTTTTAAGAAACAGCGCAATGTAAATAGAGTGCTATGGTATAGCTCAAATGTCAGAAATGAGATGGTTTTCAGTTTTCTATTGCTATGTATCACCACTAAAACTTTTTGGCTTAATACAACAATGATGAATTAATACTTATTCTATGGGTTAAGTAGTTAGGCAAGAACCTCTGGGTGATTTATTTTGTTACTCCTGGCTAGGGTCATTTACTCAGTGACATTCAACTGGTAGCTGCATCTGGCTGGATAGTCTAAGAAAACCTCACTTAAATACCTGGCTCCTTGATGCCCCTTTATGCTCCTTTATGTGACCTCTCACTCTCCCTCCAAATGGCTGCCTGACTTATGCTTCTTCACAGTATGCTGGTCTCAGTGTAGTCAGACTTTTTTTTTTTTTTTTTTTTTTTTTTGAGACGGAGTTTCGCTCTTGTTACCCAGGCTGGAGTGCAATGGCGCGATCTCGGCTCACCGCAACCTCCGCCTCCTGGGCTCAGGCAATTCTCCTGCCTCAGCCTCCTAAGTAGCTGGGATTACAGGCATGCACCACCACGCCCAGCTAATTTTTTGTATTTTTAGTCGAGATGGGGTTTCACCATGTTGACCAGGATGGTCTCGATCTCTTGACCTCGTGATCCACCCGCCTCAGCCTCCCAAAGTGCTGGGATTACAGGCTTGAGCCACCGCTCCCGGCCTGGATATGAACTTTTAACCAGACCTACACTCATGCACACAGAGGTTTGAGATGATGAATTTCATAGAGATGCTGATAATATAAGCTTTAATTTTATTTGAGCACACAATAAGTTTTAAAAAATCAACAGAAAGAGAAGATTGGTGGCAGTGGTTTTCAACCAGTCTTATGGGAAACCCTAAATGTTTGATGAATAGCATACACATTATTTAGTAAGCAATGGATAAGGCTGCAAATTTATGAATAGAAAAGTGATATGTTCGGAAATGGGAAGATTAATTTGGCAATAGTTAATAGGCAGGACTGGTGTAGAGAAATTGGAGGTGGGTAAGTTAACTGGGAAACTATTATTACATACTTCAGGAAATGGAAAAATACAATTTTAAACTAATTAGGCAGGACAATAGCAGTGGAAATCAGGAGGTACATGGTAGAGCTCCTTTAGAGATAACATCTGGAAGTTGGAAACTAAAATGAAATATGGAGCAGGTTAGGGGGTCTCCATTTCACGCAACTTCTGAAGATAGAAATAAAAGCTCAATAACAAAGTTTTTGAAAAGTAAGTGCCATGTTTAAAAGGGAAAAGACTGAAAAGAAAATTATTTGTTAACAGTTAAAGTGTTCTAATATTAAAACATTAAGTTTCAAGGAGGCAGAATTACCAGGGTCGCTGGCCGTGACTTTCATGATTTTAGTCATGTAAGAAATAAGCTCACACTGAATAATGTTGAGAGTTTTTTCTAGTTGTCATACAAAATAGATATTCATATAGGAAAGGAATTAGATGAATGTTCTAAAGATAATCATGAATAAAATATTTAATATCGTATCAGTCAAGTATTCTGATTCCTTTCTCTTAGAAGTCTTCAGTAGTTTCTTCCTAGTGTAATTAGTATTATCTCTGTGTTGGTAAAAAAAAAAAAAAGTACAAGCTTATATTTCATATGCCTTTGCTAACTTTTAATAAAAACAATAATGTAATCAAGTATTAATTAGAATAGAATATACAGAATGAATACATGCACTTAGTCTCATTAAAGCTCTTTATAAATGTATGACAATTGAATTCTAATAAGGAATAGAATTGTGAAGATAAATTATATTTCACATGTAATGGTGGAGGAAAATATTTAAAATATTCCCAATCATTAAGCCACTTATAATGATATATAATTTGATGTGTTTTTTAAATTACAAAACTATATAACTGTACATTTGGTTATGTAAACATTTTAATCTCTTGTCTGTATTTATTAAAATGTACTGGCAAGAGTGTCATTTAGTAGTGATAAAAAATATATTGATTTTCCGTAATATGCCGTAGCTGTTTGTACAACCATTTCGTAAAACAGAGGCTGTGACCTGGATCTTTATATTTAGCTCTTCTTTAAACATAAACACAAACACATACACACACACATACACGCACACACACTTCCTCATATATATATGTTTTACATATTTATATGCATACAGATATTTTACTAGATTACTTATAGTTAGCATTTTTGTGACCTTTGTAACAAACATTTATAAAGACTGTTTATGTGTTTATGTAAACATACAGCTACTTTAGTAACACATTTTGTGTTTACCATTATATTAAATGGATGATATTTTGTTATGTAAGTTCATATACTCTAATAAATGTGCATAACATTATATACTGTAGAATTTATTGTATATTCCATAGAGTATTATTAAACAATTATATTGCGCTTATCATGTACCTGACGTTGTTCTAGATACCTTAAATATAGTATATGCCCTCACTTCTCATATGACTCTGTGAGATTGGCACTATTTTTATTTCCATTGCATAGATAAAGAAACTGAGGCACAGTAACTTTAGGTAACTTGCTTAAGGTAGCATATCTAATAACTGGCAGAATGTGGACCTGAATGTAGGAAGTCTGGCTTCTGAGAACATCCTCTAAAATACCATGACATTACAGAAAGTATATATAGTGTTTGTAACAGATATTATATCAATGTGTGTATCTATATATATGTATTTGCATATGATCCACATTAATAACAAGTCCATATTGTTATCACTGATAATGTAAATCCACATTGAAGTCTCTTATTTTTGCTTGTGTGTGTGTGTGTATGTATATATGTAATAGTGGAGGAAAATATTTAAAATGTTCTTAATTATTAAGCCACTTATGATGATAAATCATATGTACACACACACACACACACACACACACACACACACACACACACACACACATTAGAACTTGGAATGGAGTAAGTCTAATGTACCAAAAGAGGAGAGTCAACCAAGAGAAGTCTATGTGGCTGATTGTCCAGAGATCTAACACAGTGCCATTTCCTTACTAATTTATGAAGACCTGGTACTACTTAGTGTGCCCAAGCATGACCAAATTTTTGGTAAAGGAAAGACACCACTGCAAAAGACACTGAGCCTGAAATAAGAATCAGAATGCCATTTTATTAGTCTACCAGGATGTTCTTCTCCATTCATCATAGAAACTTCTTTGCTGATGCCAAGATGTCATTTATGAAACCAAGGTAATTCTTCCTATTCAAAGATACTGTTTCTTCAAGTCTGGATGACTTCATATGACTCCTGGTTCTGGTATATAATAGCAGGGAAAATGACTTAACTTCTCTGTGCCTCAGTTTCTTCATCTATAAATTATTTGCAAAGTTGTAGCTAATTAATAGTTGTGATAAAATATAAAGAACATGTGCAACATAAATAGCCTCAATACTACTGCTGATTATTATATTAGTGTTAAATGTTCAGTTCAAACATTTACAAACTAAAGTCAAGCTAGAGATTTTGATTAAACATTTACATTTCATAGAGGTTTCTCAGGCCTTCCTGCCTGTATAAGTATACCATTTGTCCAAAAAATCAGTTCTGCAAAGGAAATTTGCTTCAGTAAAATGACTGCAATAATATATCCTAGATTTAGTTTAACACTGGAAAAGTTTTGATAAATTGACCATTCGGCAAACTGGCCTTTTGGTAATTTAGCCATTTTATGAACTGACTTTTAGTAAAAGTTTCATGCACAATTTTACCTAGATCTCCATTTTGTGGTTCCCGTGCAATTTATATTTGCTAGTAAAGAAAGAAAGGGTGTACTAAGTTTACCTTGCTCTCCATTACATGTGGACTTTGAACCTAATATGTAAATTTGCTGTATTAGAATCTATCCTGTTTGTCAATGAAAAATTTTTATATAGCACTTTCTTTTTACATTCTAAGATTTTTCCTTGTCACATTTTTTGGTTAATTAGTTTTTAACCAAAACTTGTATTTCTCTTTATGTTACATTTAATGATTAAATCTTTTAGAAGTTATTTACTATAAAATTCGTTCTTTATACAGGCTATTTCCTAAACTATACTGTCTTTAAATATATATATTTTACCTTTAAAAAGTTGATGTACATTGGGACATATTATTTCACTAGTCTTGAAATTCCTTGAAGGGAATTATTTGTTATTTTAAAAAACATCTATTAGTTTGTAGCATACTTTTCTGAATTCTGTATAAACTTACTGGATAAACTCCAATTGACAGAGTAGATAAAATGGTTATTATTTAAATATATTTTTAAATGCTTGATGATATTTTAAAACTATTTTCAGGATGAAAGTTCAATTGAAAGTGATGAATTTGACATGAGTGATTCAACACGGATGTCAGCTGTGAACTCTGATCTTAGCTCCAATCTTGAAGAGAGAATGCAAAGTCCCCAGACTCTTCATGGCCAGCAAGATGGTAAGCCTTTCAATTTGACTAACTAAGCAAAACAACACACACAAAAAAATGAGTCAGAATGCATGAAAATGACAACTATCTCTTAACTCTTGTGTCAGTTTTTAAAATCTGCCTGTTTCTATGGGAACTTTTCTCTATGTATTCATATTATATTATCCACTTCATTATTTTTTAATATAAAACTTTGTTCAAAACCAAGGTGTTAGACTGATTTATCTGCAGATATTGGTTATAAAATTCAAGTGAATTCACGTTTTGCTCGCTGAACTTAAAATACATGTTATATCAGTACAGTTTGGTTTCAGTGATAATATTTTTTAGCTTTGATTTCTTGGGCCATCAATCTTCTGACTAAGCATTTAAATATGATCAAAATATTAATCTGGATGTTTTTCTTTTATGTAAAAGATGTTTCAATTAAGAATCACTAGATGTTAAAGAAATTTTATCAGAACAATATTGCTGAGTAAGACAATATTTTGCTCTGACTGTGAGCTACTTTATTCAGCTGTTAAGAAAGGAAAGATCATGATCTTTTACTCATGGGTTCATTAAGGATTTCTGAATCAACCTATTGTTCTTGATAGGAAGAAAGCTAGATATGTAGAGAAAGTAGATGTCATAGAAACATTGTAGGTCTAATATTTTCAGACATCTTTGCAAGCTATCTTTGTATATTTTTGTCTTTGTAAGTATAAAATTATCTATACAAGTAAATGTGGCTTATTTCATAATTGCAAATAAAAGGGTTATATATAGAAGGAAATTGGCTGATTTTATCAAAAATTTGTTTATTATTTCTGTATTTAACAGGTTTACATGAACTTTTTGGTTGAATAGTTTTGTACTTGCATTTATAGATACTGAAAAAATCTTGGCTTTCTCTAACACTTGCTATTACAAACTGGTGGCAAAAGATTGCTATATTTCTAGCTGCTATTTGAGTCCTGTTTGTGTTGGCAAGGCTCAAGAAATCCCTAGTTTTAAGCATAAAAAAGTCCAAGAACAGAGGGGCTTTTCTTTTTCTCATTTCAGATGAATCTTAAAACATGCTGGTGTCCTTGTTAACATGAGTTATAAGAAAATGAGGAATGCATTGATTATCAGTAACTTTAAGATTGTATCTTATTTGTGATGTGCTAAAATAGCTATTGTAGTAGAAATGTCATTTATTTGTGAATATTATAAGAATGAAGTTTTTCTGATTTAAATATAAATTTTCTCTTCTTCTAAAACATGATTCGGCATTCCTCAGATTTTGTTTTTTTAAATGGCAATTTTCTTAGTAATGCACATCACTCCATTAATTTGCTTATGCCTTTAACTTATTTATCTCCTCATTGTCATTAGTCTATAATTTTAGGGAATACAGATAACAGAGGATGTATAGAGAATGTAGAGGGTGTCTCTCATCATGCAAATTCACTGTTTTCTTGACTGGAGTTGCAAGCTGTGGATCTTTGGCTATGCCGCAGTTGCTGTGATATAAATTTATACTGATTTTAATCAAGTGAAGTGGAACAACTCCAAATACTACTTACTCTTAGGAAAAAACACTTTCTCATGATATATTGATGAGTGTTTCAATGGTAATCACCTATCTAGTTGTTTCTTCTTTAACCTAGGCCTAACCCTTGTCTTACATGTCAGATACTTTTTTCTCACATTTCTTGTTGAGTTTTCTCTTACAATGATCCCTCCTCTTTCTTTTGTATCAGAGGTTTTCCTCACTCTACTGGGTTATTAAAATCTACATACAAACATGATTTGATAAACCTTTTTCAAAAAGCCTCCATTGATTTTGTCTTTTTCCATTTGTATTGCTATAACAAAATACCTGAGGCTGGGTCATTTATAGAGAATAGACATTTATCTCTCAAAGCTCTGGAGTCCAAGATCTAGGTGCCAGTAGGTTCAGTGTCTGGAAGACCTTGTTCTCTGCATTACAATAGTGCCTTATTGCTGAATCCTTCGGAGGGGAGAAACACCATATCCTCTCATGGTGGCAGGATCCAAAGAGGGTTAAACTCCTTCTGTCAAGCCCTTTTATAATCCTATTCATGAGATGAGATTGACACATCCTAAAGGCCACACCTCTTAATCCTGCTATGCTGGGGATTAAGTTTCAACATCAGTTTTGGATGGGACAAAAACATTCAACCATATCATATCCCATTACACCTCTTCATTCATTTTCCTATTTCTCTGCACCACCCCTGCAACAGACTTCACAGTGAAACTCTGAAAGAGTTGTCCCATTATTTCTACTCTACCCTTTTTGGCTTATCACAAATAGGCTTTTATCTTTGCCACCTGACTTCACTTGTTCTTGTGAATATCACCAGCAGGCTTCTCATTGCTTAATTCATTGGTAAACTCTTAGTCCTCATCTCCCTCAATACTAATGTTTAAAGACAATGCTCCTTTTTTTTTTTTTTTTTTTCTGGTGTGATTTCTGTCTCATTCATCTCTGTGGTCTCCTTTTCCATGTTTTATTTTATAGATGTCACCATTCAGTCTTCAACTCTCCCTTACTCTCACTCCCTAGGACACCACATCTAATCATGTTGCTTTCCATACCATCTGTACCTAGATAAATCCGAAATTTACTTCTCCAAGCCCTGACATCTTTACTGAGCTCAGGACTATCTCCCCTTACCTATTTCCTAATTGTTAATATTCTTCAGAGGACTTATCACTGTATGAAACTGCATTGTTTTTCTCACTGATTAACTGTTTCTCTTCTAGAATGCAAATACTATATTAATCAATGAGTCTTCACATGCTTACAGTTTTCCTTTCATTGGCTTTATTTGAACTAGTTCTTACATGCTCCATCATATAAATGATTAAAATATAACTTTTCACCATAATTATAAGTCACAACATAAGTTTTACATATTTATCTTTTCTTCTGTCCTTTCTTCTGACAATGACACTCTCTTCGGTAACCGGTATTGACAACCTACTATGTACATATTCACAACATTTAGTCATCAAATACCTAGAATTATATCATTTATGCTATTCTGTAACTTGATTTATTCATCTAACATTACCTTTCTTTTAGATCTTCCTGTATTCTTAGGGGTGTGTGTGTGTATGTGTGTGTGTGTGTATCACAGTGAGAAAAAAAAAAGCATGGAACCTGCCTTATATGACAACAATTTAAAGGAATATGTATCAAATTCAGCATTGGCACTATTGACACACAACTCTTTGTTGGAGAGGGATGTACTTTACTCTGCATTGCATAATATTTAGCAGCTTCCTGGCCTCTACCTGCAACATGCTCATAGCTCCTCTGCTCCCAATTGTGACAAATAAAAGTATCTTCAGATGTTGTAAATGTCCCTTGCAGGCAAAATTACCCTAAGTTGAAAACAAATGGTATAGGTAGAGAATAAGGGTCTGCAAGACTCCAGTATGATTATAATGGGGATTGAAGAGACACAAGGAAGAGATGCTGAGAATTAGGGCTGAACTAAAGTCTAGGAATCAGTGCCCAGTTGACTTTCTGCTATCTAAGAATAGTTCTCTAGTTACACTGTCCAACATAATAGTCACTCTCCACATTGTGGCTATTGAATACTTGAAATATAGCTAGTGTGACTGAGGAATTATTGTAATTTACTTTTAATTCAAATTTAAATAGCTGCATCTTAAATAGCTGCATTTTAAATAGTGGCTACTGTGTCAGACAATGTAGATCTAGATCATTGTTTTATTTAGAATGGTCAGTTAAACTCTATTATCTACAGTCATTAATTGAACGTGTCTGAAGTCTGGAAAAACTGTAGGAGAAACTCCTATTTTAATAGTTGACTGAAACTCCAGTTTAATATTTTGAAAACCTAAACAATACAAACTTTTAAAGTTAAATTATAATGTTCTGTTTTCTTTAATATTAGGGTGATTCACTTAAGATTTGACTTAGAGAAATTGAAGTAGGACATTGTGATTTTTATGAATCCTTTTCAATAGTTATAACAGGCAGGTATAAGAATGTCCTTATTGGGCAGCATATAAAATGAAGAGCAAAATAACTTTTTTTTTCAATTTTCATTTCACTAAGGTTATAGAAAATTTGCAAGGTATTCATTAAAAAAACAAGCGAAAAGAGGACTATCAGATGTACATTGTTCTGGAAATGTATATCCATATATAGAGATATATATACACTGGGAAAAGGAGAAAAAGAAGAAAAATATTTTCCTCAGGTTAGATAATTAGATAAAGGTCAAGAAGACACAAACCTGAATGAAGAATTTGTAGTGAGAAGAATACTTCAAGATTAATTTATTATATTCTGCTTTTTTTTTTGCCTTTTTAAAGTTCATAATACTTCCTTAACTCAGGAAAAACATAAAGGTAAAAAATACCTAGAAACTGAATCTTTGCATAGCAAATATTTTAACCTCATTTTTGGTTTTAAGGAAACTATGTTGAGCTATTTAAATTTTTTTTACAGACCTACAAGAATGTTTTTAAGTTAAAATCATTTAAAGATTATACAGACAGCCGCTTTACTCATGAAAGCGTGAGTAAAAGCACAACACCTCGAAGTTGTTGTGGAATATAAGGAGCTTATTATAAAGGAAGCTTTGCTGTGCAATGGCTGCGGTTCACAGAATTTCAAAAAGCATCTCGGGGCCTAACAGCTAAAGGCATCCTTCAAATAGTCAGCAATTTGTAAGCGTTCTTCTTGTTCTGTCATCCATTTAAATGGATTAGAAACAGAAATTTTGTCACTTGAAATTCTGTGTTTAAATCTCAGATCCTAAAAATTTATGGCAGCATGGATTAGCTCAAAAAAGTATTCCCTTTCCTAAATCAATTATTTACTTTATTATGAATTTGTACCTTCTAAAACAGCTGATGTTCATTTCTTGTCTGGAGTTATTTTTAAAAAGATATCTGGCAAGAGAAAAGTGTCAGATTTAGAAGCAGACTTCAGTTCAAAATAAGTGTTTCCCTTCATTTTACAGGATACTTTTCTA